ATCTCCTTCATGGCATATCACTTTCTCATTGGGCCAATATTATTCACGAGACTGTTCTTGCAAAACTATATCATATCAACTTTGGAGTGGCCACCAGTAAATAGCCCGATATGAATCCTACAGGTATGTTAAATCCCATGAAACAGCAACTGAAGAAAACTGACACTGCTCCCTATTCAGGCCCTTCGTTTGCAACCGTCTGTCACATATGGGATGGAATGACTGATAATTGTCCAAAATTTAGCAGAGCCGATGCCCTATGGGTTTGTGCACTACACAAAACCAATGGCTCCTACGCAAAATAACAATGAGCACATAATTTAATGTTAAGTCCAAGTTTTTCTGGTATTTGTGATTGCCTTGTTTTCTGTTTTGTTTGAAATTGAAACTATCAACATTAAATATTGTTTATTGCAGAGAAACAAATCCATTCCTGGATATGCAATGTATGTCCATTTTATCAATATTGAAGGTCCCCAATATACGCGCGAAGACAACGTTTCTGTGATTTCACACAATTTTGCCAAGCCTGATTTTTTAAGGTCAGTTTTGAGTTACCATATTGTTATCTCGAGCATCTCTTAACATAGATGAAATACTATTGTGTCAGATGATGCAGAATGTATTTAGCTTTAAATTGATATGCTGTATGGGTGGGTAGTGCAAGGCTTTAAACCGATTATTGGGTAATTACATTATCAAGTTTCTTTTGGAACCCACTGTATAATACACGTGCGGGTGTGTTGCACCCTGTTGTCGGTCAAAAGGATATAAATAGGTTGCCGTGAAAAGGGTTAATTTGTAAAGCTTCTTCATATAGTAAAACAGTCAGATTTATCAAACTCCTTATTCTGTTTACACATTCCAATTTATAGTGTCCAATTCCCTTTAAATTGGAGGAGATTCCTTCTTCTTGCGCCAGATGACTCTTCGCAACAATTTGCCTGCATTCTGTGAGTTGTTACTTAAAAAACTTAAAAAAGAGGCCCACGAAGTTGTTAGTTGCAAAATTCTAATGACACAAGCTCCCCCTACGCTCTCTCTTAATAATTTGTTATTGTAGTCTCTGGACTTAATCGTCCACAGACAATCGAGGGATCTGTAGGCCTCTACATCTCAATAAAGAGAATAACAGTGTCTTTCGACCAAGTCACCATACTGTACACTGTACTACTGCACTACTGTACAGTAGTACATAGTAGAAATCTAGTGTGCACTGTGTAATCCTAGCAGCTTTGACGTCTGATGCACTTACAACGCACTGGGTGACCTTGATACATAACTTTAGATTGAAAATAGACAATTGAAAAACAAAGTTTGCTCAAGTTTTACTATATTATGGCATCAAATCACGTTCCACGTGAGCCACTTTGCTTATTTTGATATGCTGATTTCGAAAATGAAATCGGTTTTTAGCTGCGATAATTATTTTGAAAATTCTGCGCGCAAAGTTTAATCCCGCGCGGCGGCAAACTTCAGAAGAATTTTGAGTCACAGCCTCCCACTTGCCACTTCACACTGGGGGGGGGGGGGGGGAGGGGTTCCTTTATAAGGTCAGTTAAAAGTGACTGTTGTCTGTCCTCCTTATGATAGGAAAATACTACAAGATGCAATCTTGGTAGAATCTATATAAAATACTTCTTTTTGTGATCTTCTAATTCCAGCAAGAAAAACAGTCGGGCGCGACTTATTTTGTTAATTTGGACACGCTAGTTCCGAATTTGATATTATTTTTACGATTAGACATAGTTTTAAATGTTTATTCAAAACTCTTTCTAGCATGCCGCGGGTGTATCGATACCATCAACGATACCATCACGACGAGGTATTTGCTTAAGCCAGTCGCTGTTCCCCTGACACATTTTTTCCTGTTTTTAAAAATAGAGTCGCTGTTCCCCGGTGCTCCGAAATAACCGCCTATTTTGAGCCTGCTTTGCATTATATTTTTTGTGTTTATAATAAATATTATGATCTTCTTACCTCAACAAGCTAGCCTAGGCCTGACAGCTGCCTCCTGACTCCTTGCCGCTGCAATGAAATACTGGCTAACTGTCCAACTCTCGAACCTGGCCTGAATTTATACAAGTGAACTGACGAGTGACGAGGCGAATCGGGGAAAGCGTCGTCGTTTCAGTTAGTGGTGCAATTGATCGATCACATTTTTCGATGAACCGAGCAAGATTCTTGGTCGAGTAAATCGACCAAAATGGTTTCTTGACCGAGCAAGACATCAATCAAACGCCAAAATTAATTGTCGCTATCAAACAAACGCGAAACCCATATTTTATCATTGTCTCGTTTTGTAACCCAGCAAACTTCAAACTTTTAACAAAATGAAATAAGCATTTACCATTTCATAAAATGTATGTTTATCATCATAGTAGAATCTGTGATAATTATCCAGTATAAAAGCCTGTATCCTTTTCAATTGTTGACGGTCGCGGTATTGTGTTCGTTATTTAGTCTTTTGGGATAGTGGTGCTCTTGGGTAAACCTCAAACTGGCAATGATGAAACTTGTTCGAACAAACAGCAATCAAACGCTAAAATTACTCGTTGCTGACAAAAAAAAACGCCAAACATATATTTTAATGTCATAGTATTAGTCGAAATAGAATAAAGTCGTATATTTTAATTATGAAATAGCTGCCAAGAGTATATTTACTATCAGATACACAATTGGGAATCTTGTTGAATGTCAAACCCTACAGCCACTCTTTATTTTTAGACTGTCGCGGTTTTTTAACTGCACTGAGGGTAAAAGACATTGAAACGGCCGTGCTCCTGGAAAACCAACAAATTGGCAAATGTCTCGCGCCACCAGCACGAAAGCGAGACAAGTGTGTCAACTTATCAATATTCATAACGGAACATTTTAGATCTAGCCAGGTTTACAATTTTTCATTGTTGATAAGCGTATGCGCGCAGTTGCATAGTTCTCCTTTATCATAGCTTTTCGCGCCAGGTCGTTTTCTTCAAAAAGCATCTATGGTACCATTGGTTTGCATGATATAAATCATCTGATCAGACAAGGTAAAAAAACAAAACAACAGTAGCCTAGTTCTAGCCTACAGACGATGTGCCCCAAGGTCATGTAGGCCCAGACGTAGATCTAGTAATCCTACGATTCTGCTGCTGGCATTTTGGAGAGGCCTGGGTTTATGGCTTCCCAAAACCCAACATCTCTCTTGGCTACACACAAGATAAAGAAATGTGGAATGTTGAAGAAAACACGAAATATCTACGGTCAGGAAACAGGCTAATGGGCTCTCGTGACCTAGAGGTTAAGGAGTTGGCCTCTCATTAAAAGGTCCCGTTCGAATCCGTGTAGCGACCGAAAAAATTTCTTTTCTAAAATTGTCTCCTTTCACCTCCTTTCCCGCTCTCTAGCAATATTCTGTCGCCTGCTTTCGTCTTCTCCTTCTGTCCCCACCCCCTCACCTCCTTTTCCCCCTCCTCTGGGTCCCCGACTCTTTCTGCTGCCTTTCTACTGCTCCTTCTTACTGCTCTCTTTCAGCCATACCCCTGACCTTCTGGTAGGAAAACCTAGCCTTCTCGGACAAGGGTGATAAATCTCGAAGGGCTCGTGTGTAAGTTTCACATGTGAAATATCCCTTGGTGGTGAAAAATTAAGAGTAGGTTTCGGCCGCCACCCCGGCGAAATTCAAAATTTCCTCCCAACTAAAAAAGTTTAATGTGTCCCGCGCACTCACATGACCGTATGCAGTTCGAGCGCCATAAAACACTTACAAAAAAGGCACAACCCCCCCCCCCCCCCAACTGAATATTACATTACATTATGTTGAACTTTGCCAGCGAAACGAAGGCTGGTCATCCGTTGTCTGTAAAGACAAAAAAGCAAACAAAAACAAAAACAAAAACAAAAAACAAAAAACAAAAACAGCAGTACCAACGCCTACGGGCAGACGGGTCCTTGACCTGTACATTGTGTAGTTAGTTGTTGCTTTGTAGTCGAGGTGAAATATGATACGAAAGTAATTCCACTAGCCCAATGCCATTCTCAGGATACGTTGAAATAACGTCAGCCTTTAACTTTAAATGAACCAGGTTACGCCTGGACCTTGCATAAAAGAAGAAAATGAAAGTGAAAATTAGGAGAGAGAGAGAGAGAGAGAGAGAGAGAGAGAGAGAGAGAGAGAGAGAGAG